CCCCCCCCTCATCCCCAAAAGTTTCTCAGCGGATTTCGGCTGTACTCAGCAAGTGCAGTACAGCCCCCCACTCAGATTTGAAAAACAATCAGTGGATGCCTGTTTTCTGACTGGTCGGCAGACCGCCGACCAGTCGGCCCTACTGGTCGGCTGCACAACGGTCAGCGGTCAGGGTTGCCGGTCGGCAGGTGTGCAACCCTGGCCAAGGGGTTCAAGACCCTTTCCCCCCTCCCCAAGTCGTTAACCTGAACTCAATGACATTGCAAATTGGTGCCTACCATGTAATGATTTGCTCTGTTGTTTTTTCCTTTTTTTTTTTTTTGTCTCAACAGCACCTGTGGTTTTAATCACTGCAGCAAAAATAGCCAACAAGCGGGGTTAAGTGCAGCGGTGATAAGGCCAGGAAAAGAAGTAAGAAGCGTTCACAATAAATACTCCATACGCGCCCTCAAAAACGAGTCATCAGTGCTCAGTGTCAACAAACAGCCTAAGTAGCTGTGTTCAACATCCATCACCCCACCCCCCCCCAACGTAACTCAACTCAGTCCAACCTAGATTTATTGCTCAACCAATCAACCAATCAACCAATCAACCGATCAACCAATCAACCAAAAACCAAAATCACCCAAAATCAACCAGTCATTCAGTCAATCAATCAACCAATCAACCAATCAACCAATCAACCAATCACCCAATCACCCAGAAACCAAAATCACCCAAAATCAACCAATCAACCAATCAACCAATCAACCAATCAACCAATCACCCAACCATCCATCCCATCCCATCCCATCCCATCCCATCCCATCCCATCCCATCCCATCCCATCCCATCCCATCCAGTCCCATCCAATCCAATCCAATACGATCTAAATGATCTCATCCCCGATCCGATCCAATCCAATCCAATCAAGTTGGATCAAAGTTCATCAAACCAAACCAAATCAAATCAACGATTGAAAGGGTGAAAAAAAAAGAACACTTCGGTCTGCAGACTGCACTGGATAACAAATAGCGAAGTGGATAAGACTGTAATGGATATCGCTCCGGACTGCAGCGGATATCTCTGCAGACTGCAACAGTGGATGTCATCCTTTGGCAGTGAAGCCCTCAAACCCAAAACAGAAAGCAGACAAAAGTTCAATAACAAATGAAATCCACTGTTGAATAAAGTTCTGAGCTGCACACGAGAGTCGGAAAAAAGGAGGAGATCCAAGGGAGAGACAGCTGACTGACTCCCTCCCTACCTTTGTGGAAACTTCAGCAGGACTTCAATTTCATCTGCCATGACTGGTGATGATGCACCTGTGCATGTAACGACGAAGCAAACCGCACAACACATGGTAAGCATGACAGGTAAGGTCAAGCTCGTGCGCAAACATGATGGGATTCGTGACGCTCTCACACATCACCCACAGCACACAGCAAGCAGCAAGAGCGGAGCTTCACACTCATGATGCTTCTCCATGGATAGACTTCATTGCTGCCAAGCTGTTTGGCACTTGTCTTCCGTTTCAAGCACCACCAGTGAATTCCCTAAAGCTAATAAAAAACAGTCACAAGAAGAGTCACACAACAATAGTCTGGCAAGAATAGTCTCACAAGAATAGTCTCACAAGAATAGTCCACAAGAATAGTCTCACAAAAATAGTCTGACAAAAATAGTCTGACAAGAATAGTCCACAAGAATAGTCTCACAAGAATAGTCAGCGAAAATCTCTACAGCGTGCCATTTCATTTCTTGTGCAATAAGCTTTGGTCACACAACAGAGCTACATCCACTCTCCAGATTCAAATTTCAAACACCACCAATGAATTTTCGGTGAAGCTACCGAGAAAGGTCACAAGAATAGTCAGCAAACAATTGTGACTATTCTCGATAGTCACAGTTGATCCTTATGCACCAACAATGGCTAGACAGTGAGTGGTGTAATCGCCATCGCTGCTGTCCCCCTTTACTATTATGACCCATCAGGAATAGCCACCGCTCATCCTTATTGATCAACAATGACAGCGATATAGCCAAACACGTCCACGATCCAGTTGGGGACTGAACCTGATGACGCCCTGCGCCCAGAGCGGGCAACCGGTGTGCTGCAATGGTCTCAACCTTCGAACTGAAAAGACATAACGTCACAAAAATTGACGAAAAAACAAAAAGAAAAAAGAAGGGGATGAAAAGACTCGGAACGTCAATGCCAATTATGTCATCATCTCATTTAACTAGTCTAGGTGAGGTGAATGGTACTTCAGACGTCAGTAGTTCAGTAGTTACTGATCAAAATACTTCAGGGCATCAATCAGGGCATTCAGGCCCCGCTGTGCACGCGGGGTCTCGCCTCGAACCGGCACCCTCAAGCACTGACACGGGCTGTCGCGCCCTTGAACGAAGTCTCGTAACAACTACAAACCCTTGGAGGTGTTATTATAAAAGCTGGATCCATGCCGGTCGCGATATCCAGCCCACCAACCCCCAGGGGCTGTCGCGCCCTTGACCTCACACCACACCACACACAGAACACCGCATCACGGACATGGCACGGCAATCAACACACACTCCGCTCGGACGGCACGCCACCCAGCACCGCTACTTAACCCGGTCACTCCAGACTTCAGTCTTTTCTTTTTTTTTTAATTTTATTTTATAGGATGACCATTTTTTCAAGTTGCCACGGAATGAATCGTTCCCCACTTTGGCACAGCCAATTCCGATGGGTTGCTCCAACAGGCTGGCTGAAACACCAGCGGCCGGGGTGCACTGGTCCAGCCACAGAGGGTGAATCCAACCGTCTTCACCAGAGTAAAACACCTGGTTATTATCGCTGTATCTAGTCTGAAAGTTGTCTCAAATACAGCTATAGTGACCGGGCGTTGTATTCCGGTGAAGACGGTAGCCATACAGATTTCCTAACTGCTTTCAAAAAACACACAAACAAACAAACAAACAAGCAAACAAACAAACAAACAAACAAACAAACAAACAAACAAACAAACAAAGTATACAAACAAACAAACAGAAAAAAAGGGAAAAAAGGAAGGGGGGAAAAAAAGCAAAAGCTGGGATTGACGGAGTTTTTGGGGGATGGGCGAAGTTTTAGCTGCTTCTACGCAAGGTGAAGTGGGCCAGATACCCTCCCCACTTCATGAGCAGGCCATAGCTAATGACTCTTTAGTCACCCTGCAGATGTACGTTGGATGTGTCTGAAGCCTTAGAAGACTTAGAAAGTGAGTGGTCAAGCAAGGACCCTCGCGAATCTTGGGTGGCACTAAGAAGAGGTCCTAGAGGGGAACATTTCGTTGTGGAAGTTGATGTAGGAGGCCGCAAATGTGGTGCCTTCATAGACATCGGCTCCACGCGGAATCACATAAGTCGTGACTGCTTGGAGAGGCTGCACCTACAGGACCGCACCTTAGTAGACCGGTAGCATCTACTTTGGCCAATAAGGAGCGCATGGTTGTCACAGACTATATCAAAGATGTAGTCTGTACCTTCTCCTACGGAGGAGGGGAACTTAATCACAAGATTTCGTTCCTGATTAGCGACGACTTACCATTCGATATGTTGTTAGGGATGTACTACCTTGAGGTTGCCAAGCCCCAGTTTGACTGGGACAAGAAGGTGCTAAAGCATAAGTTGCCTGATGGGAGAACAGTGAGACTGACTAAGTTCAAAGCCAGTAGTATAATCGATACCTATGGCTGCTTGTGTGCATCAGCATTCTATAACTATTATAAACAGAACCAAGAGGAGGGTATGTACCTAGTGTATGTCCCTGAGAAAGGGGAGGCCGTTAAAACACCCCCAGAGATAGAACACGTTGTTGCTAAGTTCCCTGATCTGTTCAAAGAGCCCACAGGAGTCGTAGAGAGGGAGGTTGTCCATGCCATAGAAATCATTCCAGGGAGTAAAATCCCAAAGGGAAGGATCTATAGGATGGCTCCGACCGAGTTGGACGAACTTCGGCGACAACTGAAAGAGCTGACAGAAAAGGGATGGATTCGGCCGAGTACTTCCCCCTTCGGATCTCCAGTGCTATTTGTACCGAAGAAGGGGGGTACATTGAGGATGTGCATTGATTACAGAGGCCTCAATGCCATCACAGTGAAAAACGTAGAGCCTCTACCTCGCATAGACGACCTATTGGATAGGGTGCAGGGATGTAAGTACTATAGCAAAATAGACTTAAAGTCCGGCTACCATCAGATCGCAATAAGACTTGAGGATCAACACAAGACTGCTTTTCAGACCAGATACGGTCTGTATGAGTTTGTGGTGATGCCCTTTGGCCTTTGCAACGTGCCGGGTACATTCCAGCATGCTATGAATAGGATCTTCCATTACCATTTAGATAAGTTTGTCGTTGTCTATCTTGACGATATTCTTATCTTTAGTAAGTCTGTCGAGGAGCATGCACAACACGTTGAGACTGTACTTTCACTCCTGCGACAGCACAAGTATAAGGTCAATCTAGAGAAATGTGAGTTTGGACGCACTAAGATCTTATACTTGGGTCATGAAGTATCCGCGGAAGGTATTAGGCCGGAAGATGTGAAGGTGGCTAGTATAAGGGACTGGCCACGACCTCCGACTGTTACTGAGGTCAAATCTTTCTTAGGAATGTGCGGCTACTATAGAAATTTCGTAAAGAACTATTCCACAGTCGCCTCTCCTTTGACTGATCTAACTCGACTTGACACGCCGTGGGACTGGAGTGATGAGTGCGAGGCTGCTTTCAAACGATTGAAGCATGCACTCATGAATCATGAGGTTCTTATGGTACCGATCCTCAGAAGCCATTCATAGTGACCACTGACGCAAGCCAATACGGCATTGGCGCAGTGCTGGCTCAACAGGATGGGAAAAAGTTGAGACCGATTGAGTATATGAGCAAAAAGATGCCATCGAAGAAACTGGCGAAGTCCACCTCAAAGCCACTGGGTAGAGGAAGACCTCCCAAACCCAAGAGAGAATATCGCGTCAAATTCAGGCATCATACGGATCCAAAAGAAGATCGGTGGTTTACCAGAGAGGAACTGATTGACATAGCTCCTCAAGTGGTGGCAGAATATGAGAGGATGTTAAAAGGGACCTGCGAAGTAAGCATCTCAGCGGACTTTCGAAGCTAAGGGGGATGGAATGTGAGGATTGAGCCCTCAAAGGGGCCTTGCCGTGATATACATGTTATGGGCCAAGGCCCCCAGCAAGCATCGTGCCCGCCCTAAGTGAAGGCGGGCCAGCAAATCAACGAGAGCCCTCTGTTCAAACATTTCACGAAGTGGGGTCCATACAGTTGCCGCACGCCAGTTGGTTGGAGTGCACCGAGTACCGGATCTCTGCAAATGCAGAAGGACCAGGGCCCTTCAGAGTTGGTTAGGCCCTGGGCACATAAACGTGAGGCCGACATTGCATACTGGAAATAGAGGCCGAAAATGCCAATGGGGAACCGGTCCACTATCTGAATCTGGACGCAGGCCTGGATGAAAGAGGCACAACTGTACTACATGGGCCCCAATACAGGTACTGGGGCCCAGGCGCAGGCTCAAGGGAGGCCGCCCACACGCAACACTGGCATATAGGCAGAGAGGGCGAGTGGGCAGGGATCTTGGCTATTGCGAGCAAGGCCGGCACGCTGCTGCATTGCGAGTGTGCCTGCGCTGCGCTAGGCTGAGTGAGGGAAGGCTGGCGCTAAGCGGCAGAGCGCAGCCTGGGCGCAGGGCGCTGGCAGCCATAGCCAGGCTGCCTGTGGGCGCAGAGAAGGTGAAGGGCGAAGGTGGTTCTTCGGAGGTGAAGGGCGCTGTGTGGGATAACAAGGGAGAGTGAGGGAGAAGAGAGAGACGTACCTGGTGGAGAGGAGGTCGGCATTGGTGTTGACATCATCACTCGCTGGTCGTCAAGTTGTCTGGTTGCTTCCATGCTGTAGTTGTAGTGATAGGCTGTAGAGTCGGTAGGGCGTCTGGCACCATTCAAGAGAGAGAGCTACATTGGGTTATGTGTTGGTGTTGCCCGATTGGGCTTGGACATTGACTCACGATTCTTCTGTATCGTTCTCAAATGGATGGTTACTCGGTTCCATTGTGCTATCTGCTCTTGCTTTGACTACTTGGACTTCAGTGTGATTTTGCAATTTGGATTTATGTGCTTCGTCCACATTCATGGTCCTTGCACAAACAAACAAAGTCACCTTTTGGGTACATGCTTCTGCCAGGACCGTAAGCTAAGCTGGCTGATTCTGTCAGTGGCCTCCAGGGTTGAATTGTGAGGTGTACCGGGGGCCAAGTCCCACTAGCAGCGTTGAGTTTCCTCAATGCTGGAATCTGGTCGTGTTTGTGGCGATGTGCAGAAATAGCGTTGAGGCCGAGGTCGCCGGTTCGAATCCGTGTATGCACAGAGGTCCGAGGCTGATAAAAGCACAGATTGTTCTACCTTCTTCCCCCGAATACAACCTATGGTCATTATAGCTGTATTTAGACTGAAATATGCCCCAAATACAGCTATAATGACCGACCGTTGTATTGGGAGGAAGACGGTAGTAACTGTGAAAATACTAAAAATAGAAACGAAAATGTCTTCTCTCCTGTCACAGAACCATCCCGATCCTGACAAATAATCACAAAACAGTCCTGATGCAATGGATGATGGATGATGCGTCCCCTTCATGTATAGCAACGACTATGTTAACGATTATGATGATGACAGTGATGATGACGATGATATGATGAGAATGCAATAACGGAGATAACAGAGGGGGGGGAAAAACGAAAACGGAAAAAAGAAACARAAAAAAAAAAAAAAACATGAGTCCTAATTGTCCATCAGTTCCTCCCAACGACCCCACATTTCTGCCACGTTGCAGCCCCCAGATCACTTCCCATCCTTGTCTTTTTTTTTTTTTTTTTTTTTTTTTTTTTTTGAATGTGTCACCCTTAAAAGCGCAGGGGCCAATCAAGCTTCTCTGTATCGTTCCAATTTGTAAGCGGCTGTGATGTCTTTTTGCTCTCCGGGTTTGTCTTCCCCCCTCCCCTTACTTTTGAAAGGGGGGGCAATCTCCTAACGTTATTGTATGCATCTGATTGCAGCGGAGGATTTGGGATCTATTCAATCCGTGAACAGATTACTATCAGCTACATGCGTGTACCATTCAGCCGCACAGGCTGGTTTTACTCTCCGTACTTCTTCCTCTTCTTGTCCATGTTTTTTTTCGTTGTGTTTTTCTTTTTTTCTGAAGCACCAATTTTCTCCCTTTTTTCTCCTTTTTTACCCCCTTCGCATTTTCGCTCCCCTCCTCCCTGGTTCAGTTTTGGACCATCCTCCACATGGCGCGCTCACAGCACCTCCTCTACCATGCTTCTTTTCTTCATTTATGACACGTGGCTAAGCCGCCTTCGTGCGGAAGCAGGGCTTCTGCATAGGGGCCAAGTAGTTCAAATTCCCTGCATGTCCCTCGGGTTGAAATGCCTCACGCACTGTGCCCCGTCACATGAGAGACACTCCTTCTTCTTCTTCTTCTACTACTACTACTACTACTACTACCTCTTCTGCTACTGCTGCTGCTTCATGTTCTCCTTCTCTTCTTCTTCTTCTTCTTCTTCTTCTTCTTCTTCTTCTGCTGCTGCTGCTGCTGCTGCTGCTGCTGCTGCTGCTGAGTATTGTACGTGCCGATTTGGAATGCAAAGTTTGAGAAGCATGTACTGATAGCAGCTTGGGCACTGTTTACCACTATTCTTCTTCTGCTACTTCTTCTGCTGCCGCTGCTTCTGCTTCTGCTTCTTCTTCTTCTGCTGCTGCTGCTGCTTCTTCTCTTCTTCTTCTTCTTCTTCTTCTTCTTCTTCTTCTTCTTCTTCTTCTTCTGCTACTGCTTCTGCTGCTTCATGTTCTCCTTCTCCTCCTCTTTCTTCGTCTTCTTCTTCTTCTGCTGCTGCTTCTGATCCTTCTGCTTCTGCTGCTTCGGCTTCTCCATCTTCTTCTTCTTCTTCTTCTTCTTCTTCTTCTTCTTCTTCTTCTTCTTCCTCTCCTGCTTCTTCTGCTTCTGCTTCTGCAGCTGCTGCTGTTGCTGGTGCTCTTTCTTCTTCTCCTCCTCCTCCTCCCCATCCTCCTCTTCCTCCTCTTCCTCCTTCTTCTTCTTCTTCTTCTTCTTCTTCTTCTTCTTCCCCTGCTTCTTTTCTTCTTCTTCTTCTTCTGCTGCTGCTGCTGCGGCTGCTGCTCTTTCTTCTCCTCCTCCTCCCCCCTCCTTTTCCACCTGCTTTCTTTTCTCCGACTGCTTCTTCTTGTTCTTGTTATTGTTGTTGTTGTTGTTGTTGTTGTTCTTCTTCTTCTTCTTCTTCTTCTTCTTCTTCGTCTTCTTCTTCTTCGTCTGCTTCTTCGTCTTCGTCTGCTTCTGCTTCTGCTTCTCCTTCTTCTTCTTCTTGTCCGTCTTCGTCTTCTTCTGCCTCTTCTTCTGCCTCTTCTTCTGCGGCTGCTTCTGCTTCATCGCCTTCTGCTTCTTCTCCTTCTGCTGCCCCTCCTCCTCCTGCTGCTGCTGCTTCGGCCTCTGCTTCTGCTTCTACTTCTGCTGCTTCTGCCGCTTCTGCTTCTTCTTCTGCTTCTCCTTCTGCTGCTTCTCGTTCTTGGTGTTCTTCAACTTCCAAACCGCGTTACGTCAAGCAGAGGACCTTCCCGTTCTGATTTTGCTGAGTTCTTATTCTTCCTCCTCCTCCCCTCAACAGCGCCACGAAAACGATAACGTTGCGACAGCAGCAGCATAAGCAGCAGAAGAAAGAAGAGGAGGAGAAGGGAGGAGTAGGGTGAGGAAGGGGAAGGAGAGGAGGAGGAGGAGGAGGAGGAGGAGAAGAGGGAGCTTGGTGGTGGCACGTGAAAAGCTTGTCGCCATGGGAGTACCAGGAGGAGGAGGAGGAGAAAGATGGAAGGAGACACGGGGTAAGGGGAGAAAGGTTCTGCCCTGCTACATGACAGGCACGTCGGGATCGGAGTGATCGGAGTAGGAAAACGAGAGAAGAAGAGAAGGAGCGGGGAAGAGGTGTCGTCAATCCCTAGGAAAGGGACATCGCGATGGCAGGACCAGGAGGAGGAGGAGGACGAGGAGGCGGAAGAAGAAGAAGAAGAAGAATAATGGAATAATGGAAATAATGGAAACAGCGGCCAACTGCCTTCCGCACACGCTTCAATAGATCATCAATACATAACAGCGCGTACTCATCTCAGCACACGCGCACATTCCCCAACGCGTTTTGATCCGTTGCGCTCCGATCATCCTCAGAAGAAGAAGAAGAAGAGAAGAAAGAACATGGATGAAGGGCGAGTAGATTTCGTCATCCCATTTCAGCTTCGCAGCACGACAACGGTGAATAAGATTGTTCAAGGCGAAGAACAGCGGCTTCAAGGAGGGGAGGAGGGTTTCAGCAGGAACGAGAGAGGCCCGACATGACGTGGAAGGGGGAAAGAAAGGCAGGAAACGAAACATTTGGGGGGGTGAAAAGAGGGCGGGGGGGGGGGAGGGTTGCGTCCTGCCCGGCGGCAGGCACTTCTGGATTGTCGAAGGAGGATCGACGAGAAGAGACAAGAAGAAGAACAAGAAGAACAAGAAGAAGAAGAAGAAGAAGAAGAAGAATTGCATTCTCACTCCAGACAACACAAGCAATGGGCAAATTGCTCTTCCCACGCAATAGAACGAAACTTCATTCAAAAGCAGCCAGCGTGTCTCAAATCACGCACGCGTTCCTCTATTACATGTTTCAAGCGGGTGCGCACCGTTCTCATCAGGAGGCTTCCCGCATTCCCATGCCTTTCGAAGAAAAAGAAGAAGAAGAAGAAGAAGAATGGGGAAGAAAGGTCCATTGTGCCACGTGGCGCGCACTTCGGGGTCGTAGTAGGAGGAGCAGAAAGAACAGGTCAGGCTATGTCGCACCAGTCGGAAGGAATGTCGGCATGGCAGAGCTAAGGAAGAGAAAGAACGCGTGGGAGAGAGAGGGAGGGTGTCGTCCTGCAACACGGAACACACGTCAGGATCGGACTACGACAGAGAAGGACGAAGAAAAGGCGGAGGAGGAGAACGAGAACGAGAACTAGGAGAGGAGGAGGAGGAGGAGGGATCGATCGCTCTACCTGGGGAAGCCTGGCATTGGGCAAGGTGGAGGAGGAGGAGGAGGAGGAGAGGAGGAGTGGGTAGTAATCGGAAGAAAATCAATTTTCTCCCGCAAGAGGAGGCAAATAAGGCCGGAGTACGATGACGACGAAGAATTGCATTCTCACTCCAGACAAGAAGATGAGGAGAAAAATCAAGTCAAGGGAGCACGTCCTTGAGTGCGGCACGCATGTCAGGATCAGCGTGCAGGCGTAAGAACGGGAAGTTAACCCTCCCTGAGGAAGGGATCTCGGGATCGGAGTCCGAAGAGGAGGAGAAGGAGAGAGAAGAAGAAGAAGAAGAAGAAGAAGAAGACGACGACGAAGAAGAAGACGAAGAAGAAGAAGAAGAAGAAGAAGAAGAGTGACAAGCAGAGGCCAAAACCTGCCTTCCGTACACGCTTCATCAGGCAACCATTACATCTCCAGATGTCACGACTCAGGAAACGCGCACATTCCCTAAGAAAGAAAAGAAAAAAAGAAAAGAAGAAGAAGAAGAAGAAGAAGGATAGTGGGCGAATAGTGATAAACAGAGGCCATAGACTGTCCTTCAGTGCACGCTTCGACAGAAAATTCCATACTCAACCGCATGCACTGAGCTCAGAAGAAACGCGCTCATTGCCCTACGCACGTTTCAGCCAGGAAGCGCACCTGGCACTCATATCAGGGACCTCCTCCCCTGATCCGCCTACGGCACCCACCCACCTACTTGCCCAGCCTCTGAGCAATGAGGACCGACGGCTTTAATACAGATCACCTACCTCAAATTAATTTTACTTTAATACAGATCACCTACCTCAAATTAATGTACTTTAATACAGATCACCTACCTCAAATTAATTTACTTTAATACAGATCACCTACCTCAAATTAATTTACTTTAATACAGATCACCTACCTCTCCCTAGACTCTCCGTGCCCTCATCGTGTCGCAACAATTTGAAATTCGCCCGCCATTTTTTTTTCAAAATTTCAAATTTCAAATTTCAAATTGTTGTCGTCCTACTCAGCAGACAGTTACGCGCCAGCATTGTGTCGCAAGTTCTCGCAACAATTTGAAATTTGCCCGCCATTTTAACAAAAATAATAATAATAATAATAAAATTTGCCCGCCATTTTGAAGAAAAAGAAAATAATAATAATAAAATTTGCCCGCCATTTTGAAAAAAAATTGTGCCCGCCATTTTGGAAAAAAAAAAAAAATTCCCCGCGTCGTTGATGCTTCGATGCTTTTTTTCCCTTCCCGCCTGCAGATAGCCTGAAGTAGGGCGGGTACTAACCAGTAGAAGATGACTCGGCCAATTTCCGGCGAAATACGGAATCATCCTAGGTACAATTTCCGATTTCCCCGGAAATTGCCCCCCAGTCATCTCGAAAATTTCCCCGGAAATTGCCCCCCAGTCATCTCGAAAATTTATTTCCAAGCCTGCTTAGATGATTCCCTATTTCCGAGAAAAATAGCTATGTAAAAATAATAAAAAAATAAATTAAAAAAAAGCTATCAGCCCCTATCGCCTGTAATTTAAAATCTGTAGTACCACCCTATTGCTTAGATGCTTCCGTATCGCCCCAGTAGAAGATGACTGGGGCAATTTCCGGGGCAATACGGAAGCATCTAAGCAAAATAGGGTGCTACTACAGATTTTAAACTACAGGCGATAGGGGCTGATAGCTATTTTTCTCGAAAATTTATTTCCAAGCCTGCTAGCAATTTCCGCGGCCAGATCAGTCAGTACCTGTGTGTGGCGGTATTTGATTAGAGGACTATAAATCATGCACGAGTGTCCAGGCTGGACCTCCCTACTCCACCGCTATATCACAAAGACCATGCTACTCACGACAACTGGCAAAAAGAAGAAGAAGAAGAAGAAGAAGAAGAAGAAGAAGAAGAAGAAGGAAAAAAAAAGGGTGCAGTGAAAACAGGGGCCCACTGTCTTGCGTACAGGGTTCACAGAATGTCAAAAAAAAAAAAAAAAAAAATCCGTCCCCAAAAAAAAAAAAAAAAAAAAAACTGCGATGCATATCTCAGAGAACGCGCACATTCCCTGACGCGCGTTTCGACGATCGGCTGCGCTCCGATCATCCTCAGGAGGGGTTCCGCACTACCATGCCTTGCGGCCCATTTACTGCCCTCCCAACCAACTGTGAGAGAGAGAGAGAGAGAGAGAGAGAGAGAGAGAGAGGAGAGGGGATGGGTCTGATAAAATCATGTCGTGTTGCAGTTTGAACGAGGGACACGAGAAGAGTGAAAGAAGAGGAAGACGAATAGTGATAAATAGAGGATAGATCGTACACTGTTTTTCGCACATGCTTGGGGCTTCGCTCCATTACACAACACTGTATGCATGCATTTGGGCGCTTTCTGGACCAGATGCATTCGGACGAGCCCAACAGTTTGAATGGATCAGGTCCAGAAAGCGTCCAAATGTATGTAGAGTGTTGTGTAGTGGAGCCAGATCCTCTACCAGATTTTCACTCAACTCCGCATGCATTGAACTGAGAACAAAGGCGCACATTGGCCCCCCCATGCGTTTCGCCCAGGTGGCGCTACTAGCCTTCTTCCCCCGAATACAACGTACGGTCATTACAGCTGTATTTAGACTGAAAGATGCCCCAAATTCAGCTATAATGACCGTACGTTGTATTCGGGGGAAGGAGGGTAGCACTCCTCATCAGGGGCCTTCTCTCCAGATCCGCCTGGCGGGACCACCACACGATCCAATCAACTGAGAGCTTCGAGTATACGGCATCGATCCACCACTCACAAAATATGCAAAATGAAAACGAATCTTCCGCTAGAACATGGATAGATACACGACCATAATTTTTGTCTTTTGTGCACGTGCGGAGTGATGGAGCTAGGCCCATAGACAAAAAGGAGAAGGAGAACCGGAAGGGGAAAGAACACAAGCATAGATTCCTCTCTCTCTCTCTTCTGGAGCTAAACGAAGGGCTGACCTCACGACATGCCGGCTTTTTTTTCCTTTCTTTTTTTTTCCTTTCTTTTTTTTTTTTTTTTTTTTTTTTTTTTAACGACATGGCAGCATTCTAATGATGAAGGACAAGTTCGTGTGATGAGAAAAGAAAACGCTGCGCCGCCAATAGGCACACGAAAAGAATGATTGCTATTTAACCCCTCCTACTTCTTTTTTCTTTTCTTCTTTTTTTTAATTAACCCCTCCTACTTCTTAATAATACCCCTCTGCGTGCAACGACATGGATTCTTATTAACCCTCCCCTCCCCCGGAGTTTTTTCTTCTCATTGGTCAGCATCTGGACAGGAGGTGGGTGTCATGAGCCGGATCTTGGGAGCCAGGCGCGGTTCCTGAAAGATGCCCCAAATACAGCTATAATGATGAGAGCCAGGCGCGGTTCCTGACTGCAATGTGCCTAAGGGAAATGGGCGCGTTTCTTCTGAGCTCAGTGCATACGGATGTAATGGAATTTTTGTGTCCAAGCGTGCACGAAAGACAGTCGATGGCCTCTGTTCATCACTATTCTCCTCTTCCCTCTCCTCCTTCTCCTCCTCCTCCTCCTCCTCCTCCTCCTTCTTCGTCTTCTTTTTCTTCATTCTCCTACACCTGTTGATGCTGCTGTGCTGCTGCTTCTTGTACTACCTCGCTAGCGGCTGCAGCTGCTGCTTTTCCCCACTCTTTTCTGTGTGCCCTCAGGGCGGGGAAGCCGTGAGCCCTCCGACGTTTTGAAATTACTTGTTCCTTTCTGTTTTTTTTTTTCTTCATGGAAAACCTCGTTCCCCTTCATCATCTTCCCCATACACTCCTACCTGATTGCTGCTACCGGTAGTGAAACCTCCGCGCCAATGCACCACGATGATCTCACTTCCTCTCTCTCTCTCTCTCTCTCTCTCTCTCTCTCTCTCTCTCTCTCTCTCAACCACGACGATCTCTCTCTGTCTGTGTGTGTAAATGTCTACCTCTTCCTTCCTTTCTCTGCCCCTCTCTCCCATGCCCCCCTCCTCCTACCGGTAGGGCCGACACCTTGCACGCAGCTCGCTGCGCCAGAGCACGAGAAGGCAGCAAGCGTGCGAAGAGGAACATGCTAGGTGGGCGCCGGGCGGGGCGTGTGCGAAGAGCAACATGCTGGACGGGCGCTGAGAAAGCCCCTTCTCTGTAACACTACGGTAGTCCCGCAGACCCTCAGTTCTGGAATGCGGAATTATGCCCATGCCCAGAATGGGGCTGGAACAATTGCAGGGGTACCCCCACAAGGGCGGGCCTTGGATGGCGGGCCACAAAATTATGCTCATGCCCGCCACGTGGACCGTTGTGACCCAGCGGCTGCCGGGTATGAACGTAATTTGAGCCATCCGGGAGTAGGGTATATGTATAATTTGGCCGGCCCACCTCAGTCCCGGGTATGCCTATAATTTGTGCATTCCCAAAAAAAAAAAAAAAAAAAAAAAAAGGTGCATTCCGGTAGTTGGTTATATCTGCAATTGTGCGGTACCAGCGTGGGTCCACCTAATTGTTTTTTTTTGTTTTTTGTTTTTGTTTTTTTACAAAAAAAGGGGCCCTTTTGGGCTTCATTCATTATAGCAGAAAAGTAGAGGCCGGGAATTCCTCAACAAACAACCCGGAAAACGTACCAAATACGGGGGGCACAGCCCAGCTCAGATGTAGGCGTTGGGAAAATTAGTCTAGGGACAGAAATGGCCAAAACTGCGACCACTGCCCTGACAATCCACAACCCTTGAGACAATCAAACAAGCCACCAAGGCCAACAAAGCCACACAATACGAAAAACGAACAACCACTCAACCTACACGCCTAGAAAAGTACCAAGAACTTGGAACCTATCGGCCTATTATCTATCCGAATTTATCTACTTCCTACCAAAACCAATAACCAAAAGGTATAAGCTCACCTAAAGCGGTGATAGAGAGCTCCTACCCTACAAGGTCTCTTAAATAGTGAACGCTCCTTCCTCACTCAGGGTCCCAGCCGTCGATCTACTGCGATCTTTTCAGCAACCGAGCGTCCCAGGTACAACATGATTCACCTATATTTCAAACAGCCACTTGTCAAGTGTCACCTGTGTCACAAATTCTGCCTCTGCCAAAGAACCTCGAAGGCACCATGTTTCACGATACCATCTCAAACCGCTGATCTTGTTCTTGCTCTGTTGCACTTTCCTTCTCCAATCCGCCAACATTGCTCGTCTGATCCCCTGTTTCACGGAAGCACGGATTTGTTTATTGGTCCAATCCTTATTATGAAAGACTTGATCATTGCGCCCTTGCCATATCACTGATATCAGTACAGCTCTCAAAACTTGAGCCACATAGCCCCAACCTTTAGTTGCTGGCAAACCAGGTGGCAAACCCCCCAGTAAAATCCACAGCTTATCCCAGGTAATTGCATTGTCTGAGATTCGTTGCCATTCCTTGATCCACCACTTCCAAATGCGCATTGAGGCTGGGCAGTCCCACCATAGATGTATCGTTGACTCAAACGCCCATTGACAGCGCATGCAGGTCAGGTCAAGAGAAACTCCATGTTGTGCAAGCCACACTGCCGACGGAGAGGCCAGTATCGACAAAAGCCACAAGATAGCAGCATGACGCTGATTTGGAAGAATTATCAATTGTTGCCAGCATCTTGTAATTGCGTCCGCAATAACCTATGGTTGAATCATCAATACCGCTTGCCACCTTGTTGTGGCTGTGATCATGGGGTCCTTTGATGGTAAGATTAATCTATAACCCAGTTGTTGATAATAGTCTAGCAGGCATACATTTTGCCCTGCCTTACCAACCGCGCGCCATTCCCACTTACTTGGGTCTAGTTTTAATTTATTCACCGGTTTCCCCTGTGCAAACAAAGTACATACCATATCTCCATCGAACTTCATGTCTTCAAGCACTCTGATCTGCACCAAGGATGATCCCAATTTTTGTTGGTGTTGAGACTCATCCCTGCTCAGGCTGTTTTGGTCACAGTGTGTCCACCCTTGAAATATTATTTTCCCATTTGGTTCAATCTGAGGAAGTTTCCATATCTGGGTCATATTGTCTGGTTCATTTGAGATGTACCATGTGCCCGGCGGGTCTGTTCTGGTGGAATCCAAAAGTTCTTTCCAAGAACGGGGGATGGCATTTATTAAGATGTTTCTCTTAATTTCCAGGTTACGAATCTGTCTCAGTTCCGCTCTCAGGTCCGAATCTGACTTTCACGTTCCTCTTATCTCATTCCAAATATCTTCGATTCGTAATATCCCCTTTTCAATCCAATGTCTACCGAAGCTACCCACCGCCGTATCAGCTTTGATCCACTCACTTGCAGAATCACGGATGTGAGGATTTTCGAATAGCAGTTGTGTCAGGACCTCCGTTTTCATGTTAGGTTCCACCCAGACATCAGGACGCAAGGATTTCCAGGCATGGATAATTTCTTTCCAGAAGGGAAATTTAGTAAATCTTCTCTGGAAAGAAAAGAGCATCAGGCAGGTCCAGACGTCGGAAGGTCGTTTTAAGTTCCATTCTCGGGCTAAGATTCGTTCTGCCAACTGGATCCAGTGGGTATCTGAAGGGTCCAATGCCACTTTCAGGATCCACTTGATCAACATAGCTTCGTTCTGTTTTTTTGGATCCAAAATGCCCAGTCCTCCTTCAATGCGGAGTCCACCTAATTGTAGGCATATGGGGAACCCCGTAGCAGCCTTTTTTCTTTGGGAAAATTTTCGATATGGCCCCGAAGTTTGCATTTACTTGCGGTGTGTCCCTGTGAAGGCCCTGTAGTGCCCCTCGGGCCTCTTAAATTTTCCACAGGCCCCTGTCAGCATGAGGCGTAACTTTCCAGTATACCCTTACCAGACCGTTCGTCGGTCGGTCCTTGAAATGCCCTCACGAGGGACCCGCCGCAAATAAACGCAAACTTCAGGGGCATTTCGAAAATGTTCCCTTTTTTTTTTTTCTTTGGGACAAAATGGTCCAATCTATTCGTGAGGAGCCAGCACGTGCTGGGAACGGGGCCCAGCGTTCCATATGAAAATACACAAGGGCCATTACCCGGCTTCGGCTGAGAAAAACTTCTAAGAACAAATTACACCAAGTACTATCTATGCAGTACTAAATTCAAAGGGCCCTTTTATTTTTCGAACCTTGGCTCAAAGGGGAATTTTCAGACCCAAAAAACCACCTGCCTTGGTGCCTTTCAGCGGCCCAACCCTACCTGCCTCACCCCTATACCCGGATGCCCAATCTCTACCAAGCCTCACGCCCCCAACTGCTAGGTTAGAGAGTGGCACGACCCCCCCCAGAACCCCCCCCCCCTGCTAGGCCATAGGGCACCGCGACCCGCCCCGGCTCCGGCCAGCCTCCACTACGGTCTTCCCCGAACACAACGCACCCTTATTTTGGTTGTAT